TTGCCCTTCATCTTCCTTTCTTTCCTTCATCTTTTTCACCAGTTAAGTCCAGGAATGCTATACAGCCTAAATCAGCCACTCATGTATAGTATTGATATTTCTGAGTAGTTGAACTTCAGGCTAACACTGGATGGTTCTCTCTGTATGCGAGAACCCATCCTTAGTTTTTATAAAGCATGTATGTGTGTCAACAAACTGAATTAGTTTATATAAGAGGTTGGGCAATATTGTAAGTAGGTGTTTGTCTTTATTGCCCAGATGAAACTAATAAACCTCTTTATGGGATAGTGTCATGCCTTGAGTTTTATAGCACCTTCCTTTTAACAAACTCAGTGTTTCATTCTTTAGGCTTAGTGTATCTCTTAGCTTGCACTGTTTTTATTAATTTTTTTTTGAGACAGGATCTTACTGTGATGCCCAGGCTGGAGTGTGGTGGCATGATCACAGCCCACTGCAGCCTCGACCTTCTGGGTCCAAGCAATCCTTCCACCTCAGCCTCTCGAGCAGCTGGGACTACAGGCATATGCCACCATGCCCAGCTAATTTTTGTATTTTTTGTAGAGACAGGGTCTTGCCATTTTGCCCAGGCTGGTCTCAAACTCCTGAGCTCAGGCGGTGGGCCTCCCAAAGTGCTGGGATTACATGTGTGAGCCACTGTGCCCGACCTGTATTGTTTTAAGTTATGCTTATTCCTTTTAAAATTCAGGATTTGTTAAGCATTTAAAACAAATTCATAAATTAAAACCTCATTGAGATACCATTTACCATGTAGTTTGATGAACATAACACATGGCACATTACGTTGGCAAAGGGGGTGGGGAAAAAGATGCTCTTATAAATGTCTGGTGGGAGTTAAATTGTGTAACTTCTATTACACTTTTGTAATAGCTACTAAAATATGTTATTTCTATCTACCTCTCTCTGTCTGACTCAACAGTTCCATTTCTAGGGTTTTGTGTTGTGGAAATTCTTGAACATTGTGAAATGTATACAGGGAGTCTTCACAGTAGCACCGTTTGTTTCAAACGATTTGAAACAACCTCTCCATAAACAGGATAGGCTAAATCAAGCACGGCACACCAATACAATGGATGTGGCCATTAAAAAGAACAAGGCAGCTCATATGCATCAATATAAAAAGGTCTATAAACTATACTATCGAATGAAAATAGCAAGGTGCTACCATTTCTATTAAAAAGAGGACAAAATATTAATATATTCATGGTTGCTTGTCTGTGTGGAATATTTCTGGATATATACATAAGAAGTTATACTGGTTACCTATGGGGAGGTTACTGGGTGGCTTGTGGGTGAGGGCAGGAGGAGGCTTACTTTCCATGGTAAACCTTTTTGTATATGTTGCAGCATTCAAAAATTCTAATTTAAAGTTTATTTTAGAAAAATGCCCCCACGTATGCAAGTGATTTCCAAATTCCTCCTTCAATAATTTTAATGATTATGGAACACACTGAACTTCTTTTTTATTATTCTAGCTGTGAACTCTGCTGCATACATGCACATATATAATCATATGCAATATTTAAATGTATACTCCTTTATATGTCAGTTGGGTGGTGAGTAAAAGAAAAATATATTTTTATTGGCAAAGTTGATGTTGAGGTTTCTGATATAGTCAGAGATAGTTGCTTATCTCAACATTATAATGGTAAGTTTTTTAAAACACCTATTTAAAACACCCTTATGTATATATATATTAGTCTGTTTTCATGCTGCTGATAAAGACATATCCAAGACCGGGAAGAAAAAGAGGTTTAATTGGGCTTATAGTTCCACATGGCTAGGGAGGCCTCAGAATCATTGCGGGAGGCAAAAGGCACTTCTTACATGGTGGTGGCAAGAGAAAAAATGAAGAAGAAGCAAAAGTGGCAACCCGTGATAAGCCCATCAAAGCTTGTGAGACTTAATTCACTATCATGAGAATAGCACGGGAAAGACCAGCCCGCATGATTCAATTACATCCCCCTGGGTACCTTCCACAACATGTGGGAATTCTGGGAGATACAATTCAAATTGAGATTTGAGAGGGGACACAGCCAAACCATATCAATATACAATTTAAAAACATGTCACGCCACATATTGCTTAGGGATATGTGGCTATGTAGTAAAAGTGTAAAGAAGTGCACAGACCTAATACACATTAATTCAGTGGGATCAAGGTGGGAAGAAATAGGATATGGAATTCAAGAGGGATGGGTACATGATGGTTTACTGCATTTTTCTTTATATCTTCTTGCATACTTCAAATATCACATAATTAAAAAGTAAGTGTTACTAACTTGTCAGATACAGGCAGACTTCTTTTAACAAACTCGGTGTTTCATTCTTTAGGCTTCTTATATCTCTTAGCTTGCATTATTTTTATTAATTCTTTTTTGAGACAGGATCTTACTGTGATGCCTAAGCTGGAGTGTGGTGGTATGATAAAAAGATGCAGAAATAATATAGGCATCAATGATCTGTATTTTCCTTGTTCTCTGTCATATTACACCAGTACCTAAAACAGAGCCTGACAGAGGGTGGACCCTAAAAATGTTTGCAAAGATGAATAAACAAGCATAAAAGCCCTGCAAGCTACTGAAGTGGTGGCTGGTGGGTTGTGTGATGTTCTGGTATGCCATCTTGTATAATGCGACCCCAGGAGAAGAAGGGGACATACCTGATAATGTCTACAACCTTTCTGATGGGTAAGAAAAAAGAACCTGGGAACTTCTCAATAACCAGAAATCAAGATGAAATACAGAGATGTGATTGGGTCCATAATAAAATTCAGATACTACCTGTACTCCAGAATACATCATTTGCAAAAGGCCTTTTCATGGCTCTCAGTGAGACTGATATTTTGTCTTCATACATCACACTCAATGGCCCCCTTTGTGAATATATTTGGTTAAGATGTCTCATGTGGGTGTAACTCTTGATTCCCCTTAGCAATGCTGTTGCTGCCTTTCATGTATCTGTGCCCAGCCAAGAGCCAGGTTGTATGGGAGTGATTGGAATGACTGGCATTTACTGCTGCCCACTGATAGTGGTAGAATAAATCACCTTTGTGTCTTAGGATAGCCATCAGCCATTCGGTTTCTATATTTGTTTAATATTTAGACATAGAATGAAAGGAGTGTGGGAAAATAATTAGCATTGTAATCTTACAATAGCTACAAAAGATGTACTAAGATGTAGTGACAAGAAATGAATAATATGCTATTGTTGTTAGTTACCCCACCATATTTAGCAAGCTAGAGCAGTGCTGTTGAATAAAATTATAACATGAGCCACATATGTAATTTAACATTTTCTTGTAACTACATTAAGACATTAAAAGAGCCAGGCACGGTGGCTCATGCCTGTAATCCCAGCACTTTGGGAGGCCGAGGCAGGCAGATCACGAGGTCAGGAGATGGAGACCATCCTGGCTAACAAGGTGAAACCCGTCTCTATAAAAATACAAAAAATTAGCTGGGCGCAGTGGCGGGCACCTCAGTCCCAGCTATTCAGGAGGCTGAGGCAGGAGAATGGTGTGAACCCAGGAGGCGGAGCTTGCAGTGAGCCGAGATCGCGCCACTGCACTCCAGCCTGGGTGACAGAGCGAGACTCCGTCTCAAAAAAAAAAAAAAGAAAGAAAAGAAAGAAAGAAATTAAAACAAACAGGAAGCAGGTGGAAATTAATTTGAATTAACCCAATCTAAAAAATTTTCATTTTAATACATAACCAATGTTAAAAAATTATGAATGAGATTTTATATTCTTTTTGTCTGGACTAAGTCTTTGAAATCCTGTGCATACTTTATATCTTCAGTAGGATGCTAAATTTTCATTAGAAATATTTGATCTGTATCTAGATTTTACAACATTTACAGTTGAAAAAGTAGATTAACATATCCCGTATCCAAACTATTCCATCGTATGTGATAGTGGCTACCCTATTGGACAGGGCAGAGTTAGAACTTATTCATAAATTTCTAAGTTAGATTTTTTTTTAATGATTCTGAGCACGTTTGTCAGTATGCTTTTGAGGAGGTATAATAAAGAGTAGACAGAGTCTTGCGCTTGAGAACCTTATAAACTAATATAACAAATGTATATCTTGCACTGTGTGAAGTTAGTTTTTTGAATGAGTGATTCAGCCCTTTTGATGGACTTAATTTTGAGAACTCAAATTAAGATCTGAGATTTAAGGTGATACAATTTTAGGCCAGGTGCAGTGGTTCACGCCTGTAATCCCAGCACTTTGGGAGTGTGAGGCAGGCAGATCACTTGAGGCCAGGAGTTTGAGACCAGCCTGATCAACATGGGGGAACCCCGCGTCTACTAAACAATACAAACATTTACCAGGTGTGGTGATGCATGCCAGTAATCCCAGCTACTCAAGAGGCTGAGGCACGAGAATCGCTGGAACCTGAGAGGCGGAGGCTGCAGTGAGCCGAGACTGCACCATTGCACTCCAGCCTGGGCGACAGGGCAAGACTGTCTCAAAAAAAAAAAAAAAAAAGAAAAAACAGCAAAAAGAAGAAAGAAAGAAAGAAAGGCAATAAAAATTTGGATAATTCTTTCACAAGTATTCTTAAACTCTGGTTAAAAGATCTAAGAAGTTGGTCGGGCGCGGTGGCTCACGCCTGTAATCCCAGCACTTTGGGAGGCCAAGGCGGGCGGATCACGAGGTCAGGAGATTGAGACCATCTTGGCTAACACGGTGAAACCCCGTCTCTACTAAAAGTACAAAAAAAAATTAGCCTTTTGCGGTGACGGGCGCCTGTAGTCCCAGCTACTCAGGAGGCTGAGGCAGGAGAATGGCGTGAACTTGGGAGGCGGAGGCTGCATTGAGCCGGGACTGCACCATTGCACTCCAGCCTGGGCGACAGAGCGAGACTTTGTCTGAGGAAAAAAATCTCAAGCGTCAGTTCATACGGGGATGAGTAATTTAATTACTTAACATAAACCAGGAGGATTTGAAATGAGGCCAACTATTTTTTTTCTTTTTTACGTCAGATGATGCTGTGCTGACGTTGTAACAAGGTTTGAGGGAGGCACACCTCACACATGGGCTTGAGCACCCAATCACCATGCGCGTGAACTACAAAGGGATCGGGCCAACGCATTCTGAGTATGGATTTGGTTCCAGATTTTTGACAGCTCCTATATCACACAAGAGGATATCAATAGTGTATACATATGGAGCGTCTATCGCATCAAAGATTGAGTTAGCTAGAAGAGAACTTCTGGGGGAAGGCCACAGTTATTTGCTCCCCCATCAGCGTGGCTGCTGGAAAGTTCTAAGAGCCCAGAAGAGGGGGCAAGGATTGATAGCCTGCCAGTCTCCCTCTGTTGATATCTTGTTAAGAGGAATCAAGTCCTGGGGCTTGGGGTTTTTATAGGAAATGGAATTAGTCCTTCCTCTTAAAGTCACAAACAACCAAGAATCTACTGGGGATTCTTGACAGTTATGAATAATTTACAGAAGTCTATTATGAACTATTAAATTATTAAATAGTTATTAGTTATAATAGTTATCAATTGTTAAATTGTTAGATTAATAGTTGTTAATAATTCATAAGCAGTTTTACTTATTAAAGAGAGAGGCAGAGAAGCGACCAAGATCTGATTTGAGTGCTCTTGGCTGGGACTGGTCCTCTGGCCAGCTCATTTTGAGGGGGTGAGGGGATAATACTCTTCTCGCCTCTCCCCTGACAGCTCCCACTTCACTTTCTTGCCTGCTCATACCTTCAACCTGATGTCACAACACATGCTGTAAGAAACTAGCCACAGGTATTCCGTGAAAAATTCATGCCAACATCCCTGTCAGGCTATTTGGCCTGGGCTAAACTGCAGTGTGGCAGTGTCACTCTGCATGGTGTTTTGCAATCACCTGGGTAGGTAATCACTGCTCCCCTTTAAAATAAAGACAGTATGGGAGGGACTAGTCAGTACTCTGTCTCTCTCTCTGTGTGTGTGTGTGTGTGTGTGTGTGTGTATGTGAGATACGTATTTGTGTGTTTGTGTGGAGTGGGGCAGTTTAGCATTTCTATCTATTGCTCTTTAAAAAAAAAAAAAAAATTTACCTGCTCCCAGCACTGATATCGATTGCTCTGAAAAGAAGTTAAAAAGCTACCTTTTCTAATGAGTACATGTGTATTATGGAAGATGCAATCTAACCTCATTTAATGCTGCACCTCAGCATAATCACTGAAGTAGCATATTTCCCTCCAGTGTTTAAAAACTCTTTGTGAAAAACTCTTTATGAAAAAATTCCACTGACTTGGCTGAAAAAAAGGTGTATTTTGTTTTTGTCATAAAAACAAATTGTTGGTGATTTAGGGAACTCGTGTTCGTTGCTCTCGGGTTAAAGGTCATTTTGCCGTGGATTGCTGATGCCTCAGGGCACCTATACATACTTCACATTTGGGGACTTATTAAATGGACATCCATTAAAGCCTCATTTCCAGATTTTATCCATTCAGAAAGATCACCCTTCCTCCAATTTGGAAGAGTGTGTTTCTCACACTGCTCTGACTTTGAGTTACTCCATCAGTGCAGGCACTCAGGTGTCCCTGCAGCTGCTCTGGCACTTGGCTGGCAGCATGGTATTTTTCTAGAGAGTTTAACAGTTTTGTTTCCCCTGCCCAGCCTCTGTGGTTGCCTATCAATACCTGGTGTGAGTGACAAGGAGACTCCAGCCCTGCCATCTTCCTGGAGTCAGAGTCTTCCCTTTCCAGGGAGCTGAGGGTCTTTGTTCCAGGCCTTTCCAGGGAGCTGAGGGTCTTTGTTCCAGGCTGCCACGTGGGGACTCTGCTATTCCAAAGAAGAGGAGGAAGAAGGCTGATAATATGCATTTCGCCTTTCACTGCCTTTTGGGCAACAGTCTTGGAATGAAAACACTAAAAACAGATGTAAAAACAGGGTGACAGTTGGGATCTCATTAGCTTAGTGGCTGTCACAATACATCCAAGAAAGAGGCTTGTGTGCATGCGGCTGTGTCTGAGAAGCTGGAACTGCACGTGTGTGTGTGTGTGTGTGTATGTGTGTGTGTACGCGCGCATGGGTGCACACACACGCATGCAGGAGGACAGGCATTTCAGGCTTTGCCATATAATTTTCTTGCTTAAGCTTTAAAAAACTGTCAGTTGGGTGGCAGCAGGCTTGGTTATTTTTCTTTATGGGTGCTTCTGTAAATATCTTTAAATTTCAGCTTAGGCTTTTTAGAGGGGCATTCAATGTGAAGAATAAACAGATTATGGCTTTGTCTTTAAAAAAAAAGTTATTGAGGCATGAAATGCACCCAGTAAAGTGCCTCAAGTGCACTCTCTTAATTGAACAGCCGGATCAAGATGATAGCATTTCCATACACTATGGGGTACAGTGCCTCAGTTTGATCATTTTGAAAATACATGAGTTTCCAGTCTTCACATACTGCCCTTCCTTACCCTCAGTCCAACTTTCAACTCCTGAATCTTCATAGGTGCTTCTGGGATCAAGATAACCAACCTTGTCCCTCACTTGGTTATAATGCCAGTCAACAAATGTGAGTCTAGAGCTGAGATGCCTCTGCATCTGTTTTCGCCTCTGGCAAAGCTGAGCTTGGCAAACTGTGCAATGCCACAGACATCAGAAGGGCCTGAGCAGGGGTGCCTCTGTGGCCTGAAGGTTCTCAGAGTGGGAGCCAGAGACCTGGGTTCTGGACCCAGCTCTGTCACTAGCCTACAGAAACTTCACTGTGATTTCTGAAGTCCTGTCCTCTAATTTGATGGCATTACGATTCTGGTGAAAATGTGGCTCTTCGTGTAAATACAATAAACCCATGACCTCAGGGTTCAACCAGGAAGCTTATGTGATCGCAGGACCAGACCAGATGTCCTTCCTCTAAAATATATTTTACAGCTGTTCACTGGCCTCATTCTGTCTTCCTGGAGGCAGTGGCCAGGCCTCTCAGCAGACCAGATGGAAGCTTGTAGAACTGTTCATGAGTTCTGTGTTAGGTTTTGAAAATTGTAAAATGTGGATAATAACATTCTTTTCTCCATGGGGCTGTTGGTGCGACATACTGGAGTCCGGACTGGTGGGGGCAATCATTTTAATTTGGTGGTCCTCTCTTGCCTTCCTTTGTTGTTAAATATTTTGAATATCATCCCTAGCCTCTGAGAGCTTCCAGTGAAACCCCTAGGACATCCCCTCCATGAATGCTGTTTTCCTTCCTGATCCCCATGCCCTCTGCAATGGCTCAGCAAGCTGTCCACTTTCAAACACAGCAGGTTTCATACAGATAAGACCCCCAACGACCATTTAGCTACATCACAGTGAGCTGAGCAAGGCCACAGGCTGAAGGAGGCCTGGGAATTCGAAATGAGGTGGCTGTCTGCGTGTGCTCTGCCTTGACTTCTTCCAATCGTACCAATAAAGCTGAAAAGAATTCGAAGAGGTAACTTGTTCACTGTTCTCCCCATGGCTGCCAAGGTAATTTGGAATTCGTGGAGTCTAGAGGCTTTGGAGGTTTGGATAGCTTAAGTCATCTTAACAAAAGCAGAGGGGAAGTTTGAAAATCAGATCTGCTTTCAAGCATTTTTTCCCCCCTCTCTGTAGTCTTATGGAGGGGAATGGAGAGTGGCTCACAGGCCTTGATTTTCCTGAGTAATTGTTTCTCTTCTGAGATACGGTGGGGCTTTGGAAACTGAGCTGGTGCTGACTTGCTACCTGTATTGGCCACCCCTGGAAGACTGCAGATGCACCTCCATTTTCCCTCCCCACCTTGCCAAGACTACCACTTGCCTGGTGCCACCTGAAGACTTACAGCTGCTCTGCTGGGTTAGGCTCTGCTGCCAAGGAACTATATTCAACCTCAGCAGCAGGGTAGTCCTCACGGAATCAAGGCTGTCTGATGCCATCATACGGTTGGGATGGGCCATATGTGCTGTTGCTCTTCACCTCTGTGCAGATAGGGCCAGGAGTGAGACAGTAGGGAGTGGTGGGGACTGTGGCAGAGGTGGGTATGCCCCTCATCAAATATTATAATATTTTGTAGTAGGTAATATACTGTTTCTTAGAGAAATGTATTTAAGAATGCCTATAGGAAGATTAGAAAGGCATGAAGGATGCAGTGGGGGAAATAACGTTGAAATTGGACTTTCACACACTGAAGGACAAACTTTAGGTACTCAAACTAACAAAGAAAAGAAGAGAAGCAAAACAGATCTACATCTGGCATGGTATTTAGTTTGGGGCATGGAGCACTTGCAACTTCCAGGAGAGTCTTAAGAGAAAAAGACACATTTATGGAGCACCTATTATGTGCCAGATAATGCATTGGCATTTTAATAAGTATTATCTCATTTAATTCTCACAGCAATCCTGTGATGTGGGTCTCTTACTCTTATTTTTTTAAATTAAGAAACTTGGGCACAATGAGGACAAATATTTCATCTGGGGTGACTCAGCCAGAACATGGTGGTGTTAGGATTTGACATCCTGACTTCTGTCTTTTAGTTCAGGAGCTCCTGCCCTGTGCTGGAAAATTGATTGCTGGATTTTCTGGCCCCTGTGCCCTCCCTGGTCTCCTCTATTGCTGATGGTAACAAGTGCCCTCCCTGGTCCTGTCTGCCTGCTCTGGGCTGACTCTTGACCTCCTGTGTTCCAGGCTGTCATCGGTGGCCAGGGTTGCTGCCAATTCTGACTGCAGGTCCCCTCACTGCCCCCATGACAGAGCTCACCTGAGCCATCACAGTGCCTTGGGCCTGTGACTGACCCGCATCCAGCCTGGCTCCTCTGAAAGGTCTGATTGCCTATTGTGTTGCCTCGAAGTTTGGATTTATCTCTGGTTGGTGCTGGCTAGGGCCTCTGCCCGCAACAGGGCCACACTGGATAGGAGGGTGGTTTCTCTGCTGTCATTGCAGGAGCTCCTCAAAGATGGTGACTTAGAAATCCTGATCTGGCCAAGCGCGGTGGCTCACGCCTGTAATCCCAGCACTTTGAGGCTGAGGCGGGCGGATCACAAGGTCAGGAGTTTGAGACCAGCCTAGCCAACATGGTGAAACCCCATCACTACTAAAAATACAAAAAATTAGCTGGTCATGGTGGCGGGTGCCTGTAATCCCAGCT